ATGCCTGGCAGGGTAGTTCTTCCATATATTATCCACGCATCTCACCATTTGCCTAGGGGGAACAGTAAAGAAAGATGTACTATAATGGATAATTTTTATTTAAATGTATACAAAAGTGTACAATGTATTAAAAGTAGTGATAGGGCTTCCCTGGTGGAGCAGCGGTTGAGAGTCCGCCTGCCAATGCAGGGGACACGGGTTCATGCCACGGTCCAGGAAGATCCCACATGCCGCGGAGCGGCTGGGCCCGTGAGCCATGGTCGCTGAGCCTGCGCGTCCGGAGCCTGTGCTCCACAGCGGCAGGCCGCGGCAGTGAGAGGGCCGCGGACCCCCAAAAAAAAAAAAAAAAAAAGTAGTGATAATATCCTCTCAGTTGTTATACTGTGTTACCTCCCAATGGGTATCACCTTACTGCTAAGATAAACAGGTTGAGTTTGCCCTCAAGACATCAGATAGGTAGAAATTCACTTGGAATAGGTATTCACGTATGAAAATATGTTCATTCCTACAAAATATTCTAAAGTCATATTCTGAGTTCATATAAAGTCATCTTTCTTTCTGCTTCTGTTTGTCTTGCAATGTCACAAGGCCAGGAGGAAGGTTTCAAGTTTCTTCTAACTCTATCGTCTTAATATTTTTCTTTGAAACTTTCCTCTCTGTGTGTGTGTGCAGGTATCAGGGCATCAGCATCCTTGTTTCTAAGCTCTATCAGAAAAATTAGCAGCTGTTGCCAATGTCCATTTAGCTGCCAGTCCTCTGTAAAGGACATAGGAGAGAAAACTATGTACAAAGAGAGCACTAGGTCCTTCTGCAGTGCCATGGGCACGTGGAATACATGACTTGGTAGCGGAAATGGTCCTTGTTTTGAATTTGAAGCCATACTACCTTTTCCTGGCACATAGACATTTATACTCTAGGACTCTTGATAGTTCTATATGGAAAAAGTACTTCCTGTTTGTATAAATCATACCTTGTGGCAATAAATGGCTCCAAGTATCAAAGGGTAAAAGAAACTGTGTGGCAAGCTATGCATATTTTTTCCATAATAGCGTTTATTTCCAAACTAAAAATATGTGCTTACGTGTATATGTGTGCATGTATTCTGAGAAAAAAATATATTTATGTATTTCTATTTCCCTAAATATATATGTTTCTTGATATAAAATATCAAGAAAAGATACCTGGTGACAACATCTAGATATAAATATCTCCAGGTGTTATTTGTGTTGGTCTGTTCAGGCTACTATTGCAAAAAGGCACTGGGTGGCTTATAAACAACAAAAATGTATTTCTCACAGTTCTGCAGGCTGCAAGTCCAAGAGGCTGCTGGCAGACTCGGTGTTTGGTGAGGGCCCAGTTCCTCGTAGATGTCTGCCTTCTCACTGTCACCTCACGCGGCAGAAGTAAGCGCTAGCTCTGTGAGGTCTCTTTTATAAAGGCACTAATCCCATTCATGAGGGTTCTACTCTCATGACCTAATCACGTCCCGAAGGCCCCACCCCTAGGACCATCAACTTGGGGGTTAAGATTCGCTCAACATGATTTTGAGAGGGCTAGAAACGTTCAGACCGTAGCATTACTCATCATTCTTCATTATTTTTATAATTATCGGGTGCTATTTATTCAATTATGACAAACTGTATCCTTGCAAAAATTCTCAGAGGGTTTTTGACCTACTGTAGAGTAAATAGGAAAAACTCAGAGCAACCTGGTGTATGCTCTGGAAAAAGACACATCCAGGTGTCGTGGCCGAAATCTCCCAGATTCCCCTACCCTCCTCCCACCTTGGGGAGCAGTGCAGAGCCATCATGCGTTACTGATGAGAATCCTGTTGCCAAGCACTAGAGAGGAGAGCCATTACTGTGCTCCTGAGTGTCCCAGGGCAGAATGTTCCCGACGGAGGTGCCAGACTGCCATCTTTTTCTGAGTGTGAATTCCCTTAATACCAGGGCATGATTGTTAGCAAAGAAAAGAAAGAAAAAACTAAAAGCGTTACTAAATGCACAGCAATGCTAGGCAATCTGGATGCATTCCTATAATCCAGTGCTGGGAGTATGAAAGGGAAACGAAAAGTGAACCCGTTATAGATGCAGGTTTTAGGAATCCACTCCACCTCCACCGTAAGTATAGTTCATTCCTCGGGGGCCTAAATCAAGCCGTGCAGGTCTCCACAGAACAATTAAGTGTCTTCTCTTTCAAGACGAACAGAATGTAGGCAGGCAGGAGAGAGATTTCAGAGCCCACGCAGCCGCTAAAATGTCAGCGCTGAAAGCCTAAGATTGCCCCTCCTTCCGGGTCCAAAAGAAGTTGTTCAACTGCCTAAGAAAAATGGTAACTTCAGAGGCAATTCTTGGAGTTCATGTAATGACGGTTAGTACCATGGTAGCTTGGATGGCAGTTCTGAATTCCCTAATTGGTTTACGCTTAAGCTTTTCGTTAAAGATTTACTGTTTATTGTAGCTGATTACAAAAGAGAGAAGTACATATTTCTTTTCTTATGAATGACTTAAAATGCAGTATGTATACCACCTGGGATAGAAAAGTACATGCCAAGCTAGATATTAATCCTTTTTAAACATATAAATATTTCCTTTCCATTCAAGACATTTATGTGCACCCACTATGTACCATAAACCTACGTCAGGGGCTGCCAGGACACAAATAAGGAAAGGATTTAATCCTGTCTCAAAGGAGTTTTTAGTGTAATAGAAGACATATCTGTCATCTGTTGCCACAGCAATACTGTGGTACAAATCATCCCAAAACTCAGTATTCTACCTCCCACGTCTGTGGTTCATCTGGGCATCCGTTGACTCCAAGCAGGCTTGGTTGAGCTTGGCCCTGAGCTGCAGGTTGGGGCCAGTTCTGTCTGCTCATCTGATGAGATGATGGGCCTCTCGTCATCCTAAGATCAGTGGACCAGTCAAGCATGTTCTTCCCATGGTGATGACAGAAGCAGGTGGGCAAGCCCAACCACACAAATGGCTTTGGACAAATCACATCCCCTAATATTCACTAGCCAAAGCAAGTCACATGGCCAAAGCCAACATCACTGGACCGAAGAAATATACTCTGCCTAGGAAGACTGCAAAGATACACGCCAAAGGATATGGGGATATAGGGAGAAATGCAAAAGTGAGAAAAATAATACAATGAGCCACAT